ACCCACTCACTCACACGCTGTTCCTCATTCGCCTCGGGGTCGTATGTCGTCCCACCTCCAGTCACAGACGATATGCGGAACATGTGTTGAGAACGTGTTCAACACGGCCAAGTGACGCGACGGCGACGGCGACATCGCATCAGCTTGTATTGTGTGCCGTTTGTGCAGCCACCACCAGTGCCAGCATGAGGAGCATGCAGGAGCAAGCCCCAGCCGCAGGAGCCGCAGGAGTAGCTCCCAAAATCAGCAACAATTCGAGGCACTGTAGTCGTCGCTCAAGTGTAAGCGGCGGGATGCAATCGTGCATCGTGGTGCCGCTGGCGGCTTAGACGCGCATTTTGAATGACGTTAAGGTCGACTAAGCGGGAGTCTTAACACAGCTCCCACGCAGCACTTCATATATAGATGCAAATGGTTGACCCCAACGGCCCATCACCCCACCTTGTCACAGTAGACACGCGCTTGTCAAGCTATTGTGAGCGCATATTGATTTTAAAGTTCGTCAGACGTCACTGCGTATACTTAATTTCTGTTAAATACATTAAAATGATTCCCCCGGTGGAATAACTTTTTCAAGAGTTCTCTTCTGTTCATTTAATAGCATTAAGTAAAATTAATTTCATTTATGGCAGCTGGATTTTTCAATTACTGCCGGAGCTGGAGCTGCAGCTGCTGTTGCCACTCTCTGCCACATGACACATGGCTCGTGTTTGCATTGACCCGCAGCCTGGTGTATCCTTTTTCTGGCCACAGCTATATGGTTGCCGGTGAAACTGTCGATGCCAGCAAGAAATGATTGGCTGAGTCATACAGCAACAACAACACGGATACAGATGCAGATACAGAAACAGATACAGACCTGAGGAGACACGCACACAGCTGTGGTGTGTTGTACATTTAAGGTTAATTACATTCACGAAATCGAATTGGTTTCAGATGAAATCAAAAGAACAGCAAGTAGCCAATGTTCATGGCCAGAAAAACTGTATCCACATACGCACCGGAGGAGTACTCGTACCAGCAACAAGTCGAAAAAGGCCTTAAGAATTAATGCCACAGCAAAGACAAAGCTGCAAAATTCATTCCCATTTCAGATTCTGATTGGCACTTTAATTGGCGTTCCATTTGTGTGCTCTTGATTCTTGTGTGTTTTGCTCTTCTCTGGTAATGGCAAATATTGTTTTGTTAAACGCAACTGCCCGTACCAGTACAGGTAGGATACGTATAGTACACTGGAATTCGTATGGTAATACACATAAAAATGCAATTTCCACTAACTGGGATGGCTATAGCCGCGTTTTGGTTGAGTTACGCTGGCACGTGCTCGATGTGCATATGTGTGAGTAGTATGGTGAGAGTGGTGGAGGAGTGTGAATGGGTGGAGGTGCTCGCTTGAGTGCACTGAAACACTTTTGCTGCTCGGGCGATTTCAATAACGCAGCGTAACATCGATGGAGCAGCAGCAGGAGTACAGGAGTGCAGGAGTGATGGTGGTGTCATGGGGCAACTGTCGATTTGCCCTTTCAATGCTTTAACCATTTACCTCAGATGGTCAGATAGGGATAGGGCGCCCTGGTCAGATAGACAATTGATGCTCCTGTGCATCGGTTGGCAGTGATGTTAAGTCCTGCCAGTTGCCCAGACGTGACTCTGTCCTCGATTTGTCCAAGCGAATGTGAATGTAAATGCGAATAAAAAACGAATGCAAGGCACTCAATGTGTGAGTGGCGATAAGTGCACACAATCCATTCGGCATTCAAATTACTTTAAATCGCATTTGTCTCGCGTGTGTTCAGCTCTTCCGGTGCCACACGGTCCCCAGGGTTGCATTTAAAGTCAGCAGCATTGCCAAATCAAATTTAGTAAAAGTCAGTGCCACACAGACAAATCCACATCCACACTGAGGCTATACCAAGGATATGTGTGTGCATTTGCCTGCTCTTCTGTCACAGACAGCATTTCCAGTTTGGTTTTCAATTAAATTTATGGCTGGTCATCGACAAGGCAGAGAGGGGGGTATTGGTTTAGAGAAAGGAAGGCTACGAAAGATAGATAGAGAGAGAGGGAGAGCCAGCCTTGAAAGGACGCTCCACTTTAATGGTAGAGCAGCCGTATAAACGAGCGGGCAACGGAACGGCAAAGTTCATTTCGGCGTAAAAGGACGAAAATCGATTAGATTCAAATCTTTTAATAAGTTTCATTTCCGCTTTGTGCCTGCCTTTCGCTGGAGCCCTGTCTGTGGCCCCCTGCCCATGCGGCTGGCAGTCCCCGCATCTTGTCTCTATGCAGCCGCTCCCATTTGCATTGCGGCTTTTTGGGGCAAGGATACCCCGACCTCAGTCTACTCTCTTCTAACCCACCGCCTTCGTTGGTTTATTACGTGTATTAGGGTGCGATTTGGAAATTGCGGTTCAATTGAGTTTCGGGGTTTGTCGATTGCTGGCGGCAGTCAAGTGGTTACCAAGCAAATTAGGCCAAACAGAATACACATCCATACTTGCACACACACCACACACCACAGCACCACACATGCCACATGTGGCAGCGATTTATGATTGACTTGTCGGTCAAAGAGGGTCAGTGTATTGTCATCGATAATTCGATAGTGATTGGCCGATCCCCATGCGACCAGCTCCCGCTCCTGTTCCAGCCCCTGCCGCTGCCGCTGCCTCTTGACGCGTTAGCCATGAATGTTTCATGTGTCAGGGGCCGTGTGCCTGAATTAAAGAATTAACGAATCTATTCTTTGTGGCGGCTAATTGTCTGGGGACTGCCTGTCATGCAGTTAATCAGATACACAATACACCTGTAATGGCCTCCCTGGCGTGTCAGAATTACCTGTGCAGGGAAATGAAATGGAAATCGCCTTTCATATTCAATTTGGGGGAAGGCGGCCAAAACAAACGGGGATAATGATACCTGCAGCAGATTCTCTCAAGGTTACCCAGACTAATACTTACAAGGCGGCAATCTCCCTTGGACACACACATGCCACACACTCAATGGCCGTGCTTTCAACGGCTTTTGGTTACACTCCACTTTTTTGTGGAGCTCCGACTCTCCCTTACTGCCTTTCTGTCTTTCTGCCTTTCGTCTGGCTTAATTGGCTGGGATATGACAGCAACAGACACACTGAAGCAGCTGCTGGCCTCACGGGGCATGCCGCGTCATCAAATCATTCACGCAGACCCAAAAGTAGAAAGCACTATTTTTATACCACCTCAACATTGCCTCGTGGTATACGATCCACTTTTAGTTTTATGCGAGTTTTTCATTACTTTTCCCAGCAAACGGCATGAATGATGTGGTGTGGTGTAATGTGGCCGGGCCATCTGTCCTGATCCGCCGAATTCCGAATTCCGACTTCGATTCCGCTTTCTGTTTTCACTTTATCCTGCGCCCGGAATTACATTTCGCACTTTTTGTTGTCCTCCGTGGTGCGGGGGAGGATGAGAAATCGGGGCTTTTGCCACATTAACGGCATAAGCAGTGACTGACAGTTGGCTGGGGGCCACTCGCCTTCTCTCCCTCTCTCTCTTTGTGGGCTTTAATTCGTTGGCTTCAATGTGAGTTCTTCAAACAGATTCCCAGGCCCCAACTCTCGTAATCATATCAAACTAATAACATTTTTATGTATGTCCCCTAAGGGGTACACGGGAGGTAATGTCAAACAGCAATTAAAAATAATCGATATGGTACCTCAAACCTCAGGACAATTAAATTTAGAGCGGAAGGCCAGACGGATATTCACCCCGTACCCTGGAGGGACCGAAACAATAACAATTTTTCACAAAGGATTAGAGCTGTCGGCAACACGTCGGCACATGGTACTTGGCCCAACGCCTGCCACTCCCGTGCCCCTGCCCCTGCCTCTGCCCTGCCGTTGCTGTTGCTGCAAATTACAATTCCCCTTGGCCAATTGCCGGTGCTGGCTCAAACCGCAGCAGTGGCAACTGTTTGTTTAATTAAATTGCAGAAGCAAACCGAAACAAACATTTCTCCACACTCTTCCATTGGCCTCGCTTTTTCTCCATTTCTCTATATCTCTCTATCGCGTTTCTCTATCTCTCTTGGACAGAGAGATGACCCTCTGGCAGTGGTCATTCGTATTAATTGAATAAGAATTACACTTTAATCCAATATAGACGCTTTTCGCTGGCCAAATGGCAGAACTTTTGTCGGCACTTTATTTTATATCCTGTACTGCGTTTTATTTCCACCCACTTCGGCACTTCCGCCTCCATCTTGTTGGGTTTTATATGGCGTTTGCTCGAATTACGCAACCGTAGTACATGGCTAACGCCCCAGCCTCCATACAACTGTTATTGAATCCGTCTAAATCAACAAGAAGACTCCCTGCTGTGTTTTTTTTTGGATAAAAGCCCTGGGAATAGGTAATTACCTTTTCTATATATAGACACCTTAATTTTATTCTAGTCTAGCGGCATTTATATTATACAAACAGCTGTCTTCATGGCCGCCTAATTAGGCTAAAACGACTGAGCATATTTCACATTTTACCAATCCTGTGGGCCTGGGAGCCATTAGCATGAGAAACTGTAAATTGTTTTCAATATTCGAAATTATGATATGTATTATTAAATTATTCATGAGTGGGGGGCCAGCCATCGCCATCTGCCCAGCGGGCCCATAAAATATGAAATATGACAGAAACATGCGAGATAGAAATCAGAGTCGTAGTCCTCGCCGCTGTACGGGACAGGCAGAGGGACTGGGGACGGAGGACTGGGGACTGGGGACTGCGGACAGAAAAGCACATGACAGGACCTCCTGAATGAACGGCGTTGGGTGGTCACGTACTCAGAAGCACATTGTCCTTACAATATAATCGCGTTTAAAGTTTCCATGTGTCTTTTGGAATTCTAAACTTGCTGAAGGTTTTCTTTTCTTTTTGTATGTATTTTAAGACTAGGCTTATAGGAATACGACCTTAGATTACGTTGTTATGGTTACCTATCTTAGCAGCTTACTATCTAGATCTATGTGCTGCGCAGCGACGCCGAAGGTAAATACTTTGACTGGGGAGCAACCTCTCCCTGACTGAGGCCTGGACTCTGATGCTGCTCGTTGATGGCCCCTGGAGCTGAGCTAAAGTCGAGCACGGGAGCCACACCTTCATCGGAGCTGCGGGAGGAGCCGCCCAGGGCATCGAATTGCTGCTGGATGAGCTGCTGTGCCCGCACTGCATCCTCGGGCGTGCGATACTTGACGAAGTGCACCTCTGGCTTGCTGCTCTGGCTCTGCTTCTCGGTCTGCAACCGCTGGGCCAGTTCCCCGATATCCGCCTGCTTGGTCAGGACATAGACGGCTGTGCGCTGCTCACTGGCCTGCTTGGCCAGCTGCAGAGCGGCATTGGTGAGGCCTTGGTGCTCCGGCGATTTGATGAAGAGCACGCGAAGATTGCGCTTCAGCATGGTGGCTATCTGTTCGGTGGCATCGTGGTCTGTGAAGTCCTCCTCGGGAGCGGCATAAGTAAAGAATTCCTTGCTGAACTCCTCGGCGGCGGCTGGAACTTGTTGTTGCTGCTGGATATCCTGTTGCAGCTGTTGTTGCTGTTGCTGCTGCTGCTGTTGCTGCTGCTGCTGCTGATGTGCCCCGTTTGTAGAGCTAAATCCCGTGGCTTCCGCATCGATGAGTCCAGCAAAGCGGCGGTCGCCAGCAGTTGCCTGGTAATTGTAGCCCAATTTACCCGCTGCCACCACAGCAATGAAACTAAGTACCTGCAAAGGAACACTTTAGCTTAATTTTCCTGGGGGTAACTTTCCCAATTACTTACCAGAAATCCACGCATCTTTTGCCTGAGTATATATAGGATGGTGCTGGTGCTGAGGATCTGTTTCACACTCTGTAAACTCTGTAACTGGCACCCAGCAGCTGGAATTCGCAGATATTTATACAAACGAGCGAAATGGGAAATTGTAAATATGACAAATGATGGCCAACGCTTGCAATATGCCAGTATCGTATCGGGATTCGGATCGGCATCGATTTCTGTTTCATCTGCGGTTGTTGCAACGCCACAACGAGCCACAAGCCACGAGCATTGCCAACAGTTAATCAAAGATAAATGAGCTTTTAAGCGTTGACACAAAACCCCGGCTTGGGTTACGGGGCTCCACTTCCAGCCCGGTGGAACCTCTTTCAACCAGTTTTTTTGTATTTTTTGCCGCTTGCAACCTTAGGGCGTTGCTTGTCTTACATAAATCTGCGGAACTACTCTTGTTTGGGCGGACAGACATCAAAGCGATGCTTTCTGCCACAAACAACTATGCAAAATATGCATAATTAATTAATTAGTCGAAGAGATTGCGATTTGCATTTCTTGCGGCAGGTTATGAACCCACTCCGAGCATTAACCGCCATCAGCTCCATCATCTGGGCTCTCCATCAACTCCAGCTCCAGCTCCAACACCAACTCGAACTCCACTTCCAGTAATCTTCAAAGTCTCGTCAGCAACAGTTGTACGGAGTAGGAAACTAAACAAAAGTGCCAGTCAAGCAAATGGATAAATGGATATTCCCATGGTTACCTAGGACTATAACGCTACACGGTTCGCTGTATAATCTTCACACATTGCCTCCGTTTAGTCGGTAACAAATGCTTCTGAATTAGGTATAAATGCTTCTGAATTAGGTATAAATGGTTCCTAGGAGAGACGCAGACAAGCACACATGTACACATCTACAGACCGCAAATGAAGAGCATTGCATAAGCAATATTTAACAATAAATACAAAGACAAACACACACACACACACACACACACACATAGAGACATCGAACATCAGCACACTTCCTCTGTCTAGAGTTTCTGGTCCAGTTAATTGTTCTGATTGCTGTACATAAATCTCATGTGTGTGTGTTCGTATCTGTGTGAGAGACGTTAAGGATGTGCTCTAATTGATAAAGGCGGACAGGCCAAGGACCAAGCAGCTATATGGCTGTGGCTGCCAATTGAATACATCATAAACCAGTTTAGATACACTTGTAAAACGACGCTGAAATTCAATATTTATGAGGAGATTGTAGTTGATTGTATTTGTATTCTTAATTTTAATCGTTGTAGTTTAAATGAGCAATCAACCATCTCTCAAATTGTTATTTCGAAACAATGGACATTTCGCTCGGAATAACTGAGTTCAATAAGTACTTTCTCTCAGTGGAAAGTGCTTTGTATATGCCCAGATTTATTTGCCTAAATAACCGAAACATTCCATCAGACCAGGACCAGGACAAGACAGGGCCAAAAGGCAGAACACCAACGCAACAGGCTAGTAGGTTATGGTGATGGCCCGGACAATACCCATTTATGCACATAATGAGGAGTCATCCATCAGGGATGACTACGAGGTACAGCTGCCGACGGCTGCTCATCAGGCAGATGGGAGTAGATCCTGGAGGCGGGTTGTGGGTGGACAATGGCCACTGGGCAGCATTTACATTTACATTTATAAATATGCATAATTTGTTAGGGGAAAAATTTAATCCTGTTTTCGCCTTGAGGAGCATTTCAGCAAAGCGTTCACCTAATTTAATCATTTTGGCCATTGGCCATAAAGAGAATTCATTTAATTTGTGTCCAAGAGATGGGAAGTTCCTGGAGATTTGAAATGCGCTTAGAAGTTGCCAAAGTATCTGTGTGAGGGCGGGGACAGGAGAATCTAACAGCCTATTGACAGTGACACCCGCAAAAAGCTGCGTATCCGAAAGTAAATACACTGTCCCGGGGCGGAGACCGAACAGGTTTCACTTGTAGCCAGGTTGCCAGGACTCTTGCTGTCCCTGGCCATGGCTATCGGCGTTGCTGTGACAAAGCCCCCCGTCACTTGTTTACTGTTTATCTTTGGCCAGAAGACAAACAGAACTAGGCCCAAACAATGACAATAACAATTTGCCATGTCTGAAAGTTTCGAAAATGATAAGATTTATTTTTGGCCCCAATCGCAGTGATTGCCTGTGCAAATTTCGCAGGCGATGGGCTTTCGCTTGTTTTTGGCGCTTTTCTTAATTAAAATTCTTTAGTGCCACGCGTATCGCCGAATGCCGGGTCCTGGGCAATAAATCATGACATCAACAGCAGAAATTGACCCACCTTCTAGAGACTTCAGTTACCGACAGATAATCATGGCAATTATACGAAAATACGGCTGACAAAAAACACAAGTCATGACAGCATTAAAATGAGCAGATCAGTCGATATCAGGGCGGTGTGGAGACTGGATTGGAGTGCCCAAAAGGTCAGCAGACCTTTATTACACACATTATACTGTCAGCCAATTGGAGAGAACTAGTCCCTCACTCACTGGTCAATTAAAGGGCAATTACTAAATATTAGCTAATGGCCGGCAATTGACGTTTGTGTCTGGCCCAGAGCGAATTGGTCTACAATTTTCGCATGGCGCAAGCAGGGGAGAAACGACAAAGAAGAAAACAAAATACCCAGAGCATTAATATTAATGAACTGCTCACACACGCGACCCCGGGCAGTTCATTAAAGTGTCAAACACTTTGTCCGGCAGACATGTCCAAGCCAAGTCCAAAGACCGCAGAGAAATTGGTCAAAAGCAGCAGCAGCCGCGGCGACCGCAGCGGCAGGGGCAACAACTGCCAAAAACCTGTTGCTGTTGTTTCGGATGTTTCTACGGCTCATACTGCTGCTGATGCTGTTAGTGAAGACGACGAGACGCCCAGCTGACCCTAAAACAGGGCTAACTGTCACTATTAATGTGTCATAAATCAAAAACTTGTTACCCTGTAACGAAAGCCAAACGAATATTTACATAATAGTGGGACCTACATGTAACCAAACATTTTTACGCGAATCTGTTCAGCGCGGCCTTGTAAATTCTGGTTCTGGTGTAATCATCGACGAGCATATGCAGCACAGTTGCAGCTCCTAATTATGATTGATGATGGCCGTTGGACTGAGCGCCTGCACTTGCAGAACCAACATTAACGAGTACGAGTACGTATAAGGCCAAATGTTAAACGAGAAATTCCCCAATTTAAGTGGAAAGTTCTTCAACAAATGAGAGTTGTGTTAAATGATAAGCAAAATTTGACAGGGCTAGTAAATGAGCTGGAAAATCGTTTGGCCATCGGCATTTTAAAGCAGGCGGACCCCACAAAATTATTACGACTCCTCCATGCTTCCGTTTTTCTTTTTTCCCCGGCCAGTGGCCGCACGGCGACGTGGCCTGTCTTGGACGCTAAAAACAATTAGTATGACAATTTATCATACGCCCGCAGCCAGATGATTTATGGAGGCCTATAGGCCGATGGCTAAAAACAACATTGCGTATACGTATCGCTGGCGCCTGGCGGTGTGCTCCTCAGTGTGTGCCTGTGTGTGTGCGTGGGTGCAGGCAAACGTTTATTTGCTGTTCGGGGGTGCGTCATATGTTTGCTTGTTTCCTTCCTTCCTGTTGGCGGCCTGTGCGCCTGCTTGTTGCCATTGTGCCATGCAATTTCTAGTTAATAAATATTTCCGGCTACAGCGAAACAAAAAAAAGGACAAGAACTTTGCGGGACACGCCCGCAAATGACTGCCAGGACCAGTGCGACTCGACACCCGCCTGGCCAGGATATAGCGCAATTAGCTGTGTCAACAACTGAAACAGTTGTTCTTTTTTTGCATAAGGTTCTAAATTGAGACAGACTTTTTTATATACTCGTAGAACATAGAAAATCCATAATCTCCAGCGTAGAATCGATTGTTGGCCAAGCTATAAAAATAAATTAATGGCTATCCCGATCAAAAGCCGGATACGCTTGAATATTGCGTCATGTCCTTAATTATGGTATCCATATACCGGACACTGAGTGGAGCCGCGAACAGTAGCCATGCCACGGATAGTAATAATAATCCCGTTGCCCCATGCACGCATCCTGCTTCCTTTATCACATGCTTGTTCTGGCATATTAATTGGCTTTCATTAATTATATTTTGAAAGCGTGTCCGGGACGTGGCTAAACTGGAGCTGCATAATTAATTGATATTTGTAATATTAAGGAAATGTTTATAAACGCTGTCCATTGGGCTCGAAAGCTCTAAAGCTTCCTACTCTCTACACTGGGAGCTTTCCTAAGGCGGGGGAAATTGTTTTAGGGTTCAAAAGCACTTCCTATATCACTATATGGAAACTTTACTAGGGATTTAGTTACCCAAAGCTTAAGTCTCTCAATATGGGGACATTTTTTATTTTACATTCAAAAGCACCGCAAAGCTGACCGGAAACTTTTTGTAAAGTTGGTTTGGAGAGAAAAATCCCGGGGTGTAAGCGTAGAACAACTTTTTTAAAAGCTTTGAAGCTCTACAAATAAGTGGAAGATATATCTAAAGTCTCCCTTTGGATGCCTATATCTTCTGCAGTTCTCAAGCTATTTTTAGATCCAATCAAACACATTTGAAGCCGTTTTTAACTTTTATTTACAAACTTAAATGATCTTCCTGTTCACTTACATGGAAATGGTAAAACCGAACCAAGGCGGGAAATCATATTGAACGCCATGGAAAATCATAAAATATGCACCCAAATATCGGTGTTTTCTGTGTGTGTGTGTTAAACATCTATCATCTACTACACATCTTTATCTATTGACTGACGGTCTGCGTGTAGTTGTGTATCTGTGAGTGCGTACCGTTTGGGTTTAGTTTCGGTTTTTGTTTCTACAACATCAAAGATCAACATAACAGCCACATATGTTACTGCTTGCATTTATTCTTGTGGTATTTTGCATATATATATATATGGATCATACATTTATGTATGAATGTATAGCTATATATAGTTTTGGTGTATGTATATAATGTTTCTGTCCGCATCTGCTCATATGGGTTCTCGATTAATAATTACACATGTACTCATATATGTATGCTTTTGTATATATATATATATATATATATATATATATATATATTTGTATCCATTCAACGGCACATTCTCCATAAACTTTAACAATGCGCTGTCATTTAGTTATTAGACTAGGTAAAACAATCTTTATCTTTATCTGTATCTGATGTTACATGCTAAACACTCTGTTCTGAACTTGTACTTTAACACCTCTGCTTATGTCTCAAACATAACCATCGCTCCGTTCCACGTTACAATCGTTTTGTGATTTCATTTTTTCGTGTCTTTTTGTGATTTTAATCGTAATATTATATCATTATGTATGTTTGTTTTGTTTTGGTTTTGGTTTTGGCCCCCGAAAGAAACTGAAAGGAAAACTATGTATGTAAATGCATCTCACACGTACTCGTAGGAGTCTCGAAAGGAAAGCAGAATCATCCGATCCGGCATGGAAGTTGCAACCGAATCGAAGCGACAACAAACTTGTTCTGCTGGCGATTACTGGGATTAACATTTTATGTTTTAGCTAAGATTTAGATAGATCTTTAGGTAAATATGTATATGCGTTTGGGTATATACTCGTATATTTGTATACACGTAATGGGAAAAACAAAATACGCAGCTTTAAAATATGTGTAAACACTCGTATTTCATACTAGATAAATATAGGAGGACTCTAACAGCATAGTACACAGCTAGAATTAGGGTATGTATACATATAGATATTACACATTTACATAGGGTTTTCGTTTCGTTTTTTGTTTTTTCTTTAGTTTTCTTTGTTCGTTTTATTATGCTATATACTTCTTCTACTCCTTCCTCGATCTCTCAGCTATATATATATATATGTATGTATATATTATATACTGCTATACCTGTTTCTCATTGTGGCTTGTCTCTCTGATATTCAAAAAGGAGTTTTGCTCTGATCTTCTGCTTGAGCCTAGAATATTTAATAGATTTTCTACTGTGCGCTTTGCAAGTTCCAGAAATGAAGAATAGATAAAAGTACTGGAATGGACCATGGCACCCTGTGCGCTAGCTCAACAGAATCAGTCAACTAATATTTTTAAGATAACAAAACATTAGAGACTTTCTATGGAAACATGAACTTTCAGTTCAGCAAAGCAAACACGAAAACTGCAAGAAGGAAAATCAAATTACAGATACGCAGAGAAATCAATAGTTTAATCTCAATCAATCCTATTCCAAAATAAAACACAGCCAGCACTTTTATTGAACCTCGCTCTCTCTCTCTCTCTCTACACTCGTTGATAAAACGCCAAGCTGCCTAATGGTAGTCGCTACGGACCTGGCGGATGGAGACCCACCCTACTTCATCTTCTTGTCCTCGTGGGCCTTCTTCACGATGGCCAGCTTCGAGTGCGGCGAGGATGGGTGCAGAGTGCGATAGGGCGCCTCCTTGGTGCCATGCAGCACGAGAGACCATTCCAGCAGATTACCATGTCGGGTTTGAGGGGAATTGAAACGTGCCTGTGGTAAGTGGGAGGGGAATTGATTAGATAGTGCAATCTATTGCTAAAGTGGTTCATATTTCACCTCTAGCTTCCAGGTTCCCTGCGGATACTCGCCCCAGGAATGAGTGGTCATGAAGGGCCACTTGGTGAAGCCATCGCGATGGTCATCATCATTGGCGCGACGCGACAGGATCATTGATCTGTGAATGAAATAAGGTGAACCTCTTGTTGACAGTGATTCAGGTTAGATTACTCACTTGGTGCCCATGGGGGATGTAAGGAAGAGTTCCAGGTCGCCGCGTCGCGAAGAATTCGCCGAGATCACAGCCTGAACGTGCTCCAAGTAGTTGACCTCCGTGTCAGTGCCCTTGCAGGCATCGGTCTTAATGTCCCAGAACAGTGAGCGACCCATGATAATTGCCCTAGGAGAGAAGGATAGGATAGAGAGGTTTAACCTGTCCGAATCCAACCGAAGATAGGAATACTCACTGCGATTGGGTTATCGCGCCCGCCTCGCAATGGTAGCGCGGTGGCACTGCATGCCATTGCTTGGAGAGCGTCACCATGGCACCAGCATCGAGCACGCCGAACCCGAAGAGGTGGTTGAACTCCAGGCCCACGCCGTTCATTGTCCAGTGGAAGCGGTTCTTGGCATCGAACAGAGAGTTGCGCTTCGATGTCAGTACCGTCAGATGCTGGATGTCGCGCCAAGTGAGTTGTGGGCTGTGGACGTGGGATAGCGAAGTGGAGTCGGGTTGGATTAGCATAAATTCATAATGCTGCAGAGAGCAAAAGCAGGGGGGACTCTACTCACTTTGCCTCCAAGGCCAAAGCAAAGACGCCCGCTGCTTCGGGCGCCGCCGCACTGGTGCCCGAGTGAGTGGTCGTACACTTGCCGTACAGGTCAGTGGTGGCAACGCCCGTGTTGGGGTCCTTGGCACCGTTGCTGAACGTGGATGCCAGCGTGGAGCTGCAGCTCTCGTCGTAGTGAGCGTTCTGGCCGTCGTTAATGGCGCTGTTAATGGAAATCGTCCACATGGAGGCGGCATAGCCATCACAGTTGCAGTCGTCCTCCTCGCCGCCATCGCCCGATGCCCAGACATAGATGTTGCCCAGACCATTTCGACCCTGCGGGTGGTGCCAAAGATTAGCTCTAATGACCGGGGATTGGAGCACTATTTTGCAAATGGCATACCTCATTGACGCCCTGGACAATCGCCCTCATGGTGGCATTCCGGGGACCGTCGACCGTTTTGCCATCGTCCGTGGGGCCCCAGGAGGCGCTGTAGATGTGGATTTTGTGCGGCTCATGGCCCATGGAGTTGGCCTCGATTAGATCCGTCATATACGGCTGATCCAGCATGCGTATGCCTGTGGCGAGAGCGATAAGTATGCATTAGTTCTAATGGCGGAAATTATAAATCAATATTTATATGAGTCCCCACCACCCGGCACTTTCACTCGCAGCTTTATGGCAATCATAAAAGTGGCAATGCAACAGAGACAGGGCCAGAGCCAGGGCAGAGCAAGGCACTTTTCCCGATTTTTCACATGATTTCTCCCACTTGGGTTATAAAAATGACAGATAACTCGCGCAGATTTATATCCACACTTGTTGCCGCCTCGTCCTTGGGGTGGGCCGCGTCCCCTCGTGGCCCAAGTTTATGTGAAATCATTTCTGAAGCTCAATTTTCAATGCCGAATTGCGATCCATTAACTTTCACTCCCAAAAAAATATTGTATCCGCAGCTGCGGCCCGAAAAATGATTTCTCTGCGCTAGCCAAGGATTACGCGGCGTATGAGTAATGCGATTTATCAAGAGAAAAACTTTCGGGACAGGCCCTGTCAGAGCATTTGCATTATTAATCCTTTGGCATCTGTGAAAAGCCACTTACCTGCGATTTTGCTGTCATAAGCAACGCCGACACCGCAAATTCCATTATCTCTGGCAGCAGCCACCTCGCCGGCACAACGGGTTCCATGACTGCAAATATAAGCAAAAACAAGGGTTACACATTATTTACGTGGAAGTTGGGGGTGGGGTTGAGGGTTGGTAAGAAGCTTAATAAAAAGCCCTCTCCATCCATTATGCAATAAACGTAATAGCCGTGAAACGAAACAACGACAAACGGTCTGTGATTGGAGTCTGCTACAATTAAGCACTTTATTACGTATCTGCCATTCCGAAGTGCATCCAAAGGTAATAGCTCTCTTATGTTAACATCATTGCTTTCACTTACGCAACTACGAGAGTTTTTGGTTCACTTTCCTTCTCTTGTTTCAGGCAATTAAATCAGAATTGTTCAGAACGCAATTGAAATATCTGTTGTGGAATTCGGCAAATGATTGCGTAAATATTTGTGTACATTTCTCCGGCATGGCTCAAGAATTCTATAGAAATGTGCCTACGTTTATTTATGATGTCAGGCAAGGACACTCCATATCATTTTTCCACCCACTTACCTGTTAAACCAGTCGTCAGTGTAACGTGGGTAGGGAAAGGGATCATTGCTGCTGAAGTCATAGCTGGCCTCGGCATTCTGAAAGCCAAAAATAAAAGAGAGAATGAGCATCCGCTTACATATGTATGTATGTACAAATGAAAGTATCTGTATTCCGTTTTTGTGGTAAGTGCGTTTTGATGTAGCAGTCGATTTAGTCAGTCTCATAATGTATTTAAATTATTCTATTTGGAGAATGCCTTAAAGAAGTGACGGCTAAGATCCTTTTGATGCTAACGACAGTGGAAAGTTTTAATGACGGTTAAAAAAGTTTCAACTTTTAGCTTCAATTTCCTGCAAACTTCCCGTGTACATATTAGGGCTTCGGAACGTCTTTTGTTGAGCTCTTTAAAAGTTGGATTGTTTGCTTTATACTCGATTGAATGACGCAATTATTCTTCCGTCCCGTCCGCCAGTCCTGCCGGACTGCTCGCTGCTCGTTCGGATTCTGATTTGCACCCTTGCAGCTGCCCCACATGTCTCTAATTGAATTTCTCTTCGAACCGAAATTTAATTAAAACCCGAGCGTAGCGCATCATCACCAGCATCAGAATGAATGTCGCTTTAAAAGTGACCATCTGACCGTGACATCCGCTTTCAAAACGAAATGAATGGAGTTTTCAGCTCCGAGATATGGCATGTGCCTGTCGTAAATAAACAAAATATTCATGAAACTCTGGGTTTTCCGTACTCACATAATTAAATTTCAGGTCCGGATGCATGTAGTCCACGCCTGCAGCAGTAGGATGCAATAAAATTGAGTTTATTTGGAGTTGTAAATTTAATTTTTATTTGAAATTCTATAAATACGCACCATCATCCATGATTGCCGTGGTCACATTCTTTCCGGTTATGCCCTGGGCCCAGGCCGCCTGCACATTCAGGTCGAGTCGCACCTTGCCCCCGTTCTGGCCGGTGTTCTTCAGGTACCATTGCATGGGGAAGTAGGGGTCCGTGGGCTCCTCCTCGATGCGGTTGGCCTCCCCCTGCTTCAAATCGAATTTCATGCCATGAATGGCAGGCACTGCCGGTCGCAGTCCCCGCTTGACGCGCTTGAATCCGGGTTGTTGCACAGCCGTGTGTACCTGTGGCGTCAGAAGGGGAAGGTTTTTTGTGTAAAGTAAGGTCAGCAATCGGCACCCCATTCGGAAACACGTCGAAAGCATGGCCATATGGGCGATTGTTATGCATGAATGCCTGTCGAACCTGTAAACTTCTGTTAGCATTCTGGCAACAGCTCATCGGAAAGCCCGGAACGACCCAGTCTGCTTGCCAATCTCCATTTCCATACCGTCCTGGCCGTCGCCCGTCACGCTCTGTTTGCCCTCTGCATTTTGCATTTGGCATAGTAATTATCGTCGATGGCCTAATGGCACGTTCCACCCAAACGGACGCACGTCCCCATTTCAATGCAATCGATGTTCTGTTCCGCCTGCAGTTTGGACACATTGAAAATGGCAGTCGTTTGGCATTCGTTGGCGTTCGTGCCATGCCCTGGTCCTGGGCTATTTTGGGAACCACCTTTGCAGGAAATGAAGCTTAGCCATGGCAGAACTCTGGCATTTGCCAGTAGTGTTGCAATGCAGGACACAATCTGGCCGCTGGAGACCATTTTATGACCCACTACGATGCTCCAACCAACTGACAATAAGTATGTCAAGTGGATTGGCTGTACATGTCCGTACCTTTTCCATTTTCATTCTCCTATCATCTGAAGGAAATCTACTTACCGAGGGATGGCTCTTGAGGGCACGCGTGTGCGTCAAACTGCGTCTGGAGCGGGCATGCGGCAGGGTCCGGTGCTTGAAATGATACTCGTGTCCGTCGGCGCCGACCAGCTGTAATGAATCCAGATACGAAATAGCGTTACACTAGACCCCGTAGCATTTTAATTGAGGAAACACACATTAATTCTCTGCTTGTTTTACGCCTAGAAGCGTGACCCTTAATTGCACTCTAATTGAGTTTAGCCGGAGCTATGCTATTCCCCCGCCACTCTATAAACACACATATCCTGCGTGGGTACATGTCCATAATTGTGCTCTAAATTGCCAGTCATAATCATGATCTGAAGGAGCAGCCGAAGCCGAAGCCCAGCATCAGCAGCATCATCATCATTAGTTGGCTTTGGTAAATTGAGTGCCCAATGCTGCGTCTGATGCATGGGCAAGCATCGCTCCTCGAGGCAGAGGCAGAGCCAGAGCCGCAGCCAGAGCTCAGTAATTTTCCGTTTTGCCCCACTGCAATTTCAGTGAAAAGGAATCTCAAGTTTCACCACGGTACGTGCCTGTGCCTTTGCCTTTGCCCGGCCTTCGACACATACACACGCCTTCACTTGGCCCCAAGCAAAGGTCCGAACCCTTGGGATTTGCTCTCTCTGTGTGCCATGGTTCTGGGGGCCTGTAATATGTCTCTGGAACTGTTGCTCTTCTGGACTGATTGCCATTGGAAACTCGAATGGCCATCGCCCAGCTGCTGGGCGTCGTTTAACTTTGCCCTTTTGCTCGGCTATGTCTGGTTGTCCTGCATAATTCAGGCTTATACTGAGATTAATTAGCAGCTGCGTGGCGCTGAGTGCCATTAATTCATAACTCGCACAAATTCGCGTCAATAAAGAGTCCATTAATGCGGCCAGCGATGACAATACCATCAATTTCCTGGCAACAGTAACTCGAGCTGGACTTGGTCTATTCTTGTGACGCAACTCATTAACCAGCCCAGAACAGAAATTATGTAGATTGGCGCTTGGAAGGCTTTTGTTGGACCAACTATGAAAAGGAGAACTAGCAGAAGGACCGCCAGGCCCACGCCGCTAATTGTCTAAAACCAACCGCTGAATGACCGTCTGAATGCCTGGCTGACTTACTGTGGGAATGAATAACTCGACCACAGGGGGGGCAGGTCTCTGACAGGATTCCATCAACGTGAGCTTATGCAAAAGTGTGCCCACGCAGCCTTTTTAAGGATTCTCAGGCAACGCCTCCCCCTGCCTTGCCTCGCTACGCCGCGCAGGATTAAATATTAATAAAGTCAGTCGGGATATGCCCGCACAAATTGAAGCTGATGATTGCTTTTACACCCTGACCAATGACCGCGGACCGCGCTGTACACACATTTTCATATTAACCCCAACACTTTTTGCCAAAACGAACGGAATTTACTTTGAGCTGAAATGAGAATGGAATTCTGGGAAAAAAAATTAAATTCGCTGGAGAAGAGTAAAATCAACAAGCGGAACAGAACTCCGTTCATTCTGTCTGTACAAATATTTCGGAAATTGTGCGGAAGAAATTGTACTTTCATTCAGCAGATGCGCCACCACGAGGGTGGCAAATCAATAGAAGGACCCACCACTTTTTGGTTTACTTAGGCGACAAGTGCCTTTTCTGTCCCAACAACAAACAAGGCGCGAAGCGAAGCTCGAGGGCCATCAATCCGTTGACTGTTGTCAATCAGAACCAACTGACAGTTTGACACTCGCACCACTCGCTCCACTTTCCTGTTTAATGAGGGGCGTGGAGCAGCGAAACGGCTGTAGCTTGCCTATTTTTATGTTCTGTTAATTTGTGCGTAAATTACTGAATGGGTATTGCAGCAGCTGTGCGGCTGCTCAACATCGAAGTTTAATGGACTTCCCAAGTAAATCATCAAAAACAAAAATAAAGAGCGATTGCCCGAAAAGATAGCGAAAACATTGCGCATACGCACAGTGGGCACTGGGGAAATTTCTGCATACATAAGGGAATTAATCTGAACGACGCCGCTCAGGCCACATGCCGATAAATTGCCAGCGTATTTTTAGATAGTAGCTCTGGCATAATTTTTGGATTATTCTTCATGAGCAGAGCATATGGAGCTGGCAACAGATTACAACAGAGAAAAAACTGGTAGCGTGGCCCGGGCTTTGAGTAGGTCGGCCAAAACGGAAATAATGCGAATAAGAATGGCAGCAAAGTCAGCTCAGCGGAGTCTAATGTGGCCATATTGTTGCCATTGTGTCTGGCTGTGTTAGTGCGATGTACGAGCATTAGTATGTATTAGTGAGTGCTCGTGTATGTGTGCGGCTCGCCATTATAAATATAATGTGTCACAATGGGTGATAACGGGGATGGCAGCCGGCAAGAGTGATCCCAGGTCCCAGGACAAGCGGCAGCAGCTGAACACCAACGGCAACAGACACCGCGTGGCAAGTGGCAGCTGTTCTTTTTTGTGCCCCATCAAACGCTGGCTGCTTATGTGAGTTATTTAAGCTCAACGTCGCGTCGCCCACACGCATTTAGCAAAAAAGTTTGCCCAAAGCTCATGTGGCGGGTACGACGGGTCGACGCCATTTCTCACACTCTCACTATCCCTCTCTCGGTGCTGCCAAAATGGTGTCTATAATTAGTTGCTTGCCGCATTTAAATAGCAAATTTTATTAATGATCATCAAGCAGCGTCAAGAAGCCGTTGGCGGCAGCGACGCCACTTGTTGATTGGAGGGAGCACTGCACACACACACACACACACACAAACACTATCGAAGACTTGAGTTTCATTTGCATGCCAAGAAGGGGCCGACCAGCTGTTGGCTGTGTAGTTACATCAGAGGAAAATCCTCTCCTCGGCGTTGTGTGGGTGTTCATTGGACACTTCTCCAGCACCGCCACCGCTGTGACACGTCATCTTTCATCTCCTGTCAGCATCAGAAATTTATGGATTTTCACTCGGCCTCAGGTCGAGCTCTGGGCGGGTCTGGCTCGTCGCAAATACTCATGGAAGGTGAATGAATGAAAAAATGTGGCACAATGCACTAAACGCGAAAAAAAAAAATCTGCGACAGCCGCTGTGCTTGTACATGACACTGACAGGCTCCCATAGTTGGATGTCCCTGGATCCATGGGATATATTTATAAATCAGATGGGTTCAGATGGGAGTACGGGTATTTTTAGCCGCGGCAGAACAATGGTCGGGCCATTGTGGTTGTGTGCCCAAGGACTCAAGGCTTCGGCACACAATAAGGGCTTAAATTGGTTAATATCTGTCCTTCTATTGTAAATATTAATCGAATTCTTTTTGGACTGGCATTCAACAAGAAATATCGATAAGCTTCCACCATAATAGAAAATGTATCGAAATATCTTCAGGAAAATAACAGGTCTATCGCAGCAGGCTTTAAATTTACCAAAAATTTCAACTATTTTAGAGGGAAATAAACGGATTCAACCGCACAAGAAATTCCCAAAACCCTTATTAGCATATTTTTTGTGGGTATGTTCAATCTATAAATACAAAACTCTGTTTAAAATTTAGAATGCATTTGAAGTGTTCCATTTTCACTTCCACTTGGAAACCACATAACGAAATCAGTCTTCTCAGAAATGAATATATGAAAATTGGCAGGACACACACACATCAGCCAGGGAAGCCTTTTGCATGCTCTCAAAGGGATATTAAAAGGAATTTTCAATGAGAAAAGTTATATGTCCTATTTGAATTCCAGCACACATTTTCATGGAATCAATCAGGCAGTGAATGTATAAACTCTTTTCTCTGTAAAGAAGGCTGCCATAAAAGAATATTATACAATCGCCGGATAGTCGTACGCACATTTATATTCACATACAATATTGGACATCGAAAAGGGAAAATCATTCATCAATTTCTGCCCCAGTGGCTCAGTGGGCCAACGTCAGCTGTATGAGCAGCAGCAGTAGTTTATCAAGGGCTGGCTGTAGCTGTGGCTCTGTGGCAGTCACTTTATCAGTAGCTGGGGAACTTTTTCTGGTGGCATTATCCGCCAATAACTTCTGCCATACACATAATATAGATACGCGCTGTGTTACAGTGTGATAAATGTGTATCTGGACTCCCGGACCCCATTGCAATGGCGCTAATTAAGAAAAATCGTCCGCTAGTCGCCCCCGCTCCACCCCCGCGGAATGCAGTTAATCAATCAATCAATAAGCAAATAAATTGCTGCAGGCTTTATAGTGCTTACATAAATTATCACCACTGACGAGTCGACTTGCTAAGGTTGTTGGAATAAAATGGAAATCAGATCAGCTGGGGGTATGGGCAAAAACCTGCCTGAAAAATCGCTTCAAGGGCCCGCCACTTGACAGTTCCTATTGTCAGAGTTCCATTTGAAACAACGTCTGCCTGTCTCGCTTTTGAAAAACAATGGAAATAAATAAATACGCCAGAGCCGAGCAAATCCAAGGCATCAATAAATGGCATGCAAATTTTCAGCAGCCTCAGAATTAGACGCCTGCCTCAAATGAGAGAAATGCAAATGAGTGTTAGGGTACGGGACTGCTGAATAATTCAACAGGATGCGCCTCAGAGACTAAGGAAAATGGCAGCGAAAGCACCAAAGACAAACAGCTGCGCGAAACGGACTAATAAGCTCTGATTGAGGCATTTGGCATGTGCCGCTCGTTGTGGCATCTGATTTGTTGGCCTACAGAAGCCCAGAAGGTTAGTTAGCTGCCTGCCAACCTGTGTTGTCAGGTCGCACAATGGAAAAAGTTGCGGAAAAGTTTCCCATAGCTGAGAGTTTGCTCAAGTGAAAATTGAATTAAAAACAATATTGCCAGCGCCAGCAGGGAAAACAAGAAAGCTGGTACTTTCTGCATTCAATTTTCCAGCCAGTAAAGGCTTGGCTTGCAACTGCAGCTGGGAGAACTTGTATTATTCGTAATTAAAAGCGTTTAGACTGCCACAGGGCAGCAATTTGCATCTGGGTCAAATATAAGGCCACATGTACCCGCAGAAATGGAAGCAGATTGCGACTCGACCCGACCCGGCCCTTCATAATCGCCCATAAGATGCTTTACTATTTGGCACAAAGACAGCT